TTGCATAGTATTTCACCTTCTTCTACCTCAACGGCTAGTGTTATACTTCAACATTTGATTTTTTACTTCAACGTTTGGTGCTCGTCATCTTCAACATCTTCTTCTACTTCAACTTTTCTAGTTATGACTTCCCACCAGGTGAAACGTAAAACTAAAATCTTATCACTCACCACCTTTTCTATAAAGCCCACCCCGATCAATTTTTGCAAGAGTTTTCTCTTTGCTCTACACTTTACAAACTAGTTTAGTTGATCCATTTTCAAATCGGGTAATATATTTCTTCATTGAAGCAATCTGCTCCTACTCCCATTTGTATTGCTTCATTTGATTTTCTATTTCAACGTTGGTTGTTGTACTATGTTGTTACACTATGATGTAATATTGTCATTCCTAAAAGTAATATATATGTTTGTCGAATTGTAGATGCCACATTTTAATGTCACACTATGTAAAGCACACTATTTAGACTGTGCATAAATCGAGGAATGCAACTGTACATCTTTTGTCAGTTATTAAAGTATTAATAAAGTTGTTACACTGAGATGTGTCACTGTCATATCACACTGTGTTAATCAATAGTAAGATTAAAGAATTTGGTTCAACGGAGACTGTCAGAGTTTGACCCAAACTCTAATTGATTATGTTAGTAATTGTTTAATGGGTTTAAAATTATTGACCCATGTAATATCCTAGTTAGTATGGGATTTTTTTATTAGTTAATTAGGCTAGGTCCCTCATTTGGAGTATAAACCAATTTTAATCTTACCATTTTTTTAGCATTAAAAAAATCCTCCATTTTTTTAAAACTTTTGTATGCGGGTCTCAATGTTGGAGGGAACATGTAGGAGTAAGGTTGTTAGTATATTTTAATTACCATTTTTGCCCCCACAACATGATTTCAGCGTATGTTTTTCTTTCTCTCTTCACGCCTCTTTTCCCTCCTCTCTCTGTTTGTCTCTTTTTCTCTCCCCAGAGACGACTTGTGTTTTGGTGTATTAGTGTATGTGTATTAGTGTGTGTATATATTTTTTAGTATATTAGTATATTTATTTGATTTTATTACTTGTATTATTTAATAGAAAGATAAATATTCAATCTAATGGGTACCTATTTGTAATTTATCTTAACCCGCTTAATTAAAATGAACTTATTACCCAACTCATTTAGAACCCGTATTAATTAATATAGGTATCCAACTCATTTATTTCTGAATGGGTTGGATAAGTTAATGTGTAATTGATTAAGATTACCACCTCTAATACATATTAGTAATAAGGCCGTTTAAAGGTTTTTTGGCACCCACTTTGTCAAATATGTATGCTTGGAATGGTCGTTTGGGATTGGATTGCAATGCTGTGAGAGTAAGATACTGAAAAATTATGTTCTAATATTGTACTAAAAAATATTACAAAAAAAAAAAAAGAGGATAATATAACGATTCAATTTGTTAAAGTTATAATAAATAGAGTTGTTTGGGTTTAAATTTATTTTTTCTTGAGTCATAACTTAATCCACATATTAATTGATATAATTTAATAAAAATTGACTTTTAAACCCCAAGTTTAGTTTCATGTTACATGCTAGTATAATAAAACTGGGGACGAGTCCACGTGCAAGACATGCTGGTCAGTATTCTTTTATGTGAGATAATTTTTTACTGATGTGTATTCATTTGAATAGAAATTTGTAGATTATTTAATCACACCGAGTTGTATAATATGACAAAGACGACCCATAGTTGGGGTGATATTCTTAGTTATAAGTACAAAATCAAATTATTGAGACTAATGTCGGTGTAAGTATAGACATGTGGAAGCAAATTGATTTATGAATGCATGAATTGTCGGAAATATGAATTCAAAAGATAAAGTGACCTGTTCTGCTGGTCTCATTCCTGTGTATGTACGAGACTCAAGGTCTTACTTAACTCAATTACAATATAGTACTAGTATAATATATAAACTCAAGGTTTTTTAGAAAACTAGTCGATTTGGAATTGAGTTTCCCCTATAAAATACTCATTTTATTAAAATCTTCTAACATAATCGATAAAATGAAATATGGTTATTTAGAAATAACTTAGTGAATGAAATCTGAAAAAATAATCATGCTAAAGTGCATGATAGATATATTGGTGGTCGTTGGATAAGTCCATTTAAGACCGTCAGATAAGTTTATTAAAGTCTGTTATATTCTATACTATAGATATATATAGAATATCGCGATCATGAAAGCTCTGTACCATAACCTCTGGTGGGAAGTTTTTATGTGAACCGTTAGATTATAATGTAACGGTTACTAATTGAAGAAGACCAAAATTTAATACAATGCCTTTAGGGGCTGTTTAATTAAATCCGTTTTATAACCTAAAACTCATACTACTTAATATTTTAAGTACTTCTTAGAAATAGACTAAAATTTTAAGGAGTAAACGACTTACTTATCACTTAATGCTGAAAATGTTAGCCAATAAGGAATTTATCAATTTCTCATATACTCTCACCACCATTATGTCATTGTCCTCACCACCAACATTATCACCACCACTACCACCATTGTACCACCGCCACTGTACCACCACCACTGTATCACCGCCACTACCTCCATCATTAACATTGTCACCACCAATACCATTATGCCACCGCCACCAACACTACTATCCCTACCACAACCATTGTTGCCACCACCTCCACCACAACCACCATCACCATCACTATCATTGTCGACATCACCACCATCACCACCACCACCACCATTGTCGCTACCACTTCCACCTTCATTATCGCTACCACTTTCACCACTATCATCACCACCATTGTATCGCCGTCACCACCATTATCATTATGTCACTGTCACCGTCACCATCACCACCACCACCATTGTGCCACCGCTACCACCACCATCACCACCGCCACCACTACTACAACTACCACTACCATTGCCACAACTATCATTGTCACCCACCACCACCACAACCATTGCCATCACGCCACTATCATTGTGTCTCTGCCACTATCATCATTACTGTCGTCATCACTATTATTGTGCCACCACCACCATTATGTTGCAACCACCATCACTACCCTTGCCGCCACCACTACCACCACCATTGTGATAGTGGTGATAGGAATAAGGCAGTTGAGAAGATATGATTAAAAAGAGGGGCAAAATTAAAATAATAATAATTTTTAGATTTTAACTCCTTATATTTATCAAACAGTTTGATTAAATTCAATACTTAAATTTCAGTTGATACTAAACAATCTGCAAATTAATAAATTCAGCATTTAGCACTTAAAATTCAGCATTCAGAACTTAAATTCAGCATTCAGTTTTTCAATGTTCAACTTTTAATGTTATCAAACACCATCTTATGAAGTTTGACTCTTGACTGAAAAGGAAATTTAATGACATATTAATTGTAATCATATTTGAAATGAAGGCTCACCTTCCTGATAAGTCTTCACTGCTAGATTTACTTTCCTTGTCATGCCAACAATCCGAAGTCCAGCTAGAGGCCTTTGAACACACATTTTGATTAAGGCCATTACAGCGAAAATGAATTTGTGGTCATGCAAAACTTGAAAGAGAACATGTCAATAAAATGTGAACATGGAATTAGGTGCATGAAGATGACCCTTAAGTTACTTTGATAAAAGTTTATTAGAAGGGATGTGATTTTGTGGGGTTACTTTAGCTCAATTGATCATATGCAAAGATCACATTTGTATAATAGAGTTTTATCCATATGTTTCTTTTGTACGTAGAAGATTTTTTATTTAGAGAATCAACATAGAAAATGAAGGTGGTGGTGTTCTCAGAGAGAATGATATACATTTGGAGTAGCTCGACATGGAGGTGATGATCATAATTTTTTTTTATGTTGATTTTTAAATATATCATTTCAAATTAAAATATGTTTTCGTAAAAGAAATATGATTACAATAAATTATTATGCCATTAAATTTTCTTTTCAGTTAAGAGCCAAACTTGATAAGTCATTGCATTAAATTTTGGTCTTCTTCAATTAGTGACCGTTAAATCAGGATCTACCAACTCACATAAAAAGTTCTCACCAGAGGTTTTGGTGCAGAGCTTCCATGATCGTGCTATTCTCTCTCTCTCTATATATATATATATATATAATTGACAAAGTGTTAGTTTAAACTAATTAAAAAAATACCATCGGAGTATTTTATTTGTTATTTAAAAAAAAAAGGAGTAGGTAAAAAAAAGCACTTAGAGACCACCCCGATAGGCCGTCACTACTAAGATCACGAGACCTGCAACAACATCTGTTATTTCTCTCATAAACGAACCTAACTATATTAATATAGCGGTCAATCATTGACACTCAATGTAGACTTTAAGACTCAAACTTTCAATTACTTGCGTATTATTTGTGCATAATGATGAAAAGTTGTACTCTCCCTAGGCAAGCATATTAATTTTATGGCCAACCTCAAAACATTGGCATTTGACGTACATATCGACAAGATGAAGCTGCTAATCAATCTGCACAATCCTTTGATCATCACATCACTATTTATTGTTCATCATAAAAGCTATTACATTCCTGGCACATTCATAATAGAAGGAATTATGTGTATAGATACAAATATGCTACAAGTAGCGACAGTCAAATTGGTTAATAAGCCGGGCAAACCATTTAAAAATAATTTTGTTTTTTTTATTTTTTTTCCGTTCAAAGTAATCGAAACACTAATTAGCCCTTAAACTTTCAATTTTATCAATTTAGTTCTCAAATTTCACACCCTCCCACTAACTTCCATCTAAATCATTGATGAAAAAGAGCACATATGCTTGGCACATGATGCAATTGAGGGGCATTTAAATTTTTATGCTCACTAAATAAATGATGTAATTGTCACATGCAAAATAAATAAAATTACAAAATAATGTCATATATATGCATTGTATAGAATAAAGTACGAAGCTCCGGCGACATCAGAAATCAATTAAAAGGGAGAATTAAATCCCTAAGGTGTTGTCGTTTGTTGTTGAAGCTGACAGTAAGATGCATTTGCCGGAGGACTGGTGCACACTGGGTTTCCGATCAATCTGAAGTACATAAATTGACAGATTAGCAGAAGGTCATGGGAGAAAATATGCATTATCATTCACATGGATTGTTAGGATTCGTCAACTCTTACATTAATGCATTTGCATATCCAGAGCTGAGTGTCACAGAGGATATGTTGTTGTTCTCCAAGTCAACAAGTTGCAGCTGCTGGCTGATGCTGCTGCCCATGTTCAACGTGCCGTTAAATGAATTGTTCCTCAGTTTCCTGTCAAAAATTCACAAGAGCTAGATCACCACTTTCACTTTGCTTCTTTTGTAGGTTATAGGAATTAACATCTACTGTTCTTTTCTGCTAATCTTCGAACTTACACTAGTTGTATCTGTGGGAAACTGAAGAGTTTCTGTGGCACAGATCCTTGAAGTGAAGAATATTCCACAACCCTGCACACCACAACAGAAATTCCACATAAGATGGATAGGCAATTCAAGGATATCCCAACGTTGTGCTTTGTGACTTGATAAAAACTCACAAAGTGGTTAGTGAAGGTAAGGTTGAGAACCAAGCTGGAGCTTCTGATAGTGTAAAGGAGTTGTTGCTTAAGTCCCTGCAGAGAGACGCAATAGCTTATGTTTTTAACGGTCTAACTAAGACTTGAGGCAAGATATAATTTTGATAAATGATGCATACGTCACTTACACGTAACTGAGCGAGTCCATTCCAGTCAAGTCTGGTAATGCACCTACCAGGTTGTTGTGTGCTAAATTCCTACAATAGAACATTAGAGCATGAGGAAGGACATTTTAGATAATTACTCATCGTTTAAATATAACCACGTAAATTGTACCAAACTGAGAAAACACCCACAGTTCAATAACATTCGTAAGATTTTTGAGGTTTGAAGGGACATCGCCTGTTAGGCCATTTCTATCAAGCCGCCTGTTGCATAGGAAAGTATGTGCATCCAATATCAGGGGAAAAGGATATCTATCAGAACAAAATGTGCTATTATCTTAACAAGGTGAGGAAGTAAAGATGGCGGAATCTACTTACAGAACCTCAAGTGTCTGAACTAATCCTAATGTGGTTGGAATTCTCCCGTTTAATTGATTTCCATCAAACAGTCTGTCATATCAGATCCATAAGCTGTAAGAACATAGATAATCAAGTTAATATAGCAGGTAGTGGTGTCTTAACTTACACGTGTATTAGTTCCATGTCAGGACTGAAAATTTGGGCTGGAATTGTTCCTGAAAGCTTGTTATTATTGAAATGGCTGCAAATTTGTAGAAGTAAGAAGGTTATTGAAGCATTAAAAAACAGCAAAGGAATGTGGGCTGGCAAATCAAATTATCCTCACAAGTGTTTTGCCTTCTTAAGGAGGTCCAAGCCTGGGGTAGTCGCTGCTGAAACAGGGAGAGATCCTGTCAGCTGATTATCTGCCAAGTCCAGCCAGTAGAGTTTCGAAAGATTGCCCAAAGAAGGAGGTATTCCACCAGTGAAGTAGTTCGAGTTCAGAGCTCTGTCAAGGCAAGTAGCGTTAGATAAATAGAGTAGATCAATGTTTTACTCCCATTACAAGCGGAGATCATTATTTTGCAGTTCTTACAAAAAAGATAGCTCTGCAAGATTTCCCAGTTCATTTGGTATGTTACCACTGAATTCACAGCCAGATAAGATTCTGAGAGACAAACAAACGATTATCTTTGAATACGCGCACATGTGTATATGCTGAAAAGGGTCTCCATGAACCAGTTATTGGGTCTTACAAGATGTTTAGGCTTTTCAAATCTCCTAACCGTGGAGTGAGGGTACCTGTGAGGCCTCGGTTAAATGATAGGTCCCTGCAATATGTAGTTTAAAAACTTAAGCTAAAGGATAAATGTTAAACCAAATAAAGACTAAAGAGGCATTACAGCTAAGTTTCTTAAACGATCCGAGTGCTTCAAGCTCGGATAGGACTTGACTCAATTTTGAGTCGCTTTGTTCATACCATAAGACGAATTGAATCAGTTAAATTTCTACACTAGTTTTTTAAACAAGTTGAATCTGAGCAGCATATGGCTTGACTCAATTAGACTCGACTCGATCAAATAAGTTCCTATCTATCAATAGTTCTATTTTTATTACTCCCTCCATTCCTAAATATCTGACATTTAAGGTTTTTGTACAGGAATTAAGGAAGCTATTAAATAACTGTAATATGAGTAAAAAATAATTAAACAAGACTAAAATACCCTTATTCAATACGTATTGAGAAGAAAAAGAATATGAAAGACAATTAGCAAAAAATATTAATTACGTTTTGATTTTATTAAATGACAAATATTATGGAACAAAAAAAATTATGTGAAACAACAGATATTTAAGAATGGAGTGAGTACTAAACACCTAAACAACCCCAAACCCCAAACGTATCTCTAAATTGTCTCTGATCATGTACAATTCTTTCCTTCTCTCCTCTTATATAAATTTTGAGAGATTTTTTGTCCAAAAATTCATAATTTCAGAATGAATTGTTAAGTAATAAGATCTAATTTCTAAAAAAAAATTATTAAAAATTGAGCTTTATTTCGGCTCAAGCTCATCTTGTATGCTCATAAACTTCTACCTAGAAGAGTGTGAACAAGAATTTAAGCTTGATAGTTGAGCTTTGCTATTCGCAACTGAGTCGAACTTGAGGACATTCAAGCTCGACAAAATTGGCTTAATTAACATACAAACTATACCAAACTTTAAACTTTGTGCTCTAATGGAGTGGGCCACATCCCAGATTTATTATACATACGCCCACGCTAGGGTCCAAGAAAAAGCCCACAGCTGTGGTTGACCAGTTAGGCCAATTGGCTACTAGGGCCGGGACGTGGTCTCTACCAGTCGACATAGAATAATGTTATTTGAAAATATGATCTAACCAGTTAAACTTCTTCGTTAGTACTCTATTCTTTAGTAATCTATCCCTTGATAGATCAATAAATTAGATTAAATTGTTAAGTCCCAATAGTATTACTCGGCCAGCAGATATTCAGGGACATGATTTTTGGCCCACTAGCCGGCTTGATTGTTAGTGTCTAGTCTTTACATTCGACTCAAACAACGAGCAAGAGATACTCACAAGGATTTCAATTCAGTGAGATCTCCAATATCACCGGTTAGCTCACCGACGAGTCCCATTGTTGATAACACCCTGGAAAAAAAAAAATTCAAAACTTACAAGTTGAGTTTCCCACTAAAACAGGAGGCTTTCAAGTCAAAAATATGGGATATAACACTACCGACGGTGGAAGCGGCAAATAATCAAACACTCACAGTCCAGTGACCCTTGAGTTTTCGCAGGTGACTCCTTCCCAGGGTGTTCCACAAGCATCATCTGTCTTTCCCCAGCTTGGTGGTGTGTTCTGCCACTGATCCTTCAAAGATCGGAGTACCGCCACTGCAGCACCACCATTTTTTTTAAGTCAGATGTTAAAGCTCTGGTCAAAATCAAATAGAGAGGTCGGTACGGAAAAGAACTTTTTTGTGTATACTTTTTTTCTTTTTTTTGTTCAACTAATTTAGCGCCCTCTAAAACTGTGGACCCTAGGTAGCCACCTTAGTGGCCTATGCCTAGGGTCAGCCCTGATATATTATGTGGTATTACTATCTAAAAACATAGGATCTTTCAGACTCTGGTATACTTAATTAGATTTATTACTATTTAAGTCTATCAAGGAAACTGTTTTGGAAAGAAGTCTACTAGTGAGAAAAAATAAACTGTCCTTCAAAACAATGCTCCAATTGCCTAACCAGGTTAGAAAATCGATAATCTCATCCTTTTTATTGACGCCTTCCGTTAAACACATAATGAAATCGCAAGTTTGAAGTAATAAAAAACCTGACTCTGAAAAATCCTCTATAAAATCTTATTTACCTAATAATTTTGTTGTTCAAACATACACAAAAAAAGGGATTTGAAGAAATATATTTTCCAAGTTTTGAATAAAAGAATGAAAACAAACAAAAGAAAAAATGGCATCATATTGTGACAATCCAGTGTGACATCCTTGACATAAGACTTAAACACTACAATTAAGTACACATGTTTCTTTGGGTTTAGTAAAGTGACATCATAGTGTGACATTCTTGACATAAGGCTTGGACATTATAATTAAACACACACATTCACTTAATTTTAATAAAGATGAACACACAACAAAAACTAATAGATGAATGCCCAATTAATATAAGATTATAACATTGTTATAGAATAAAATCACTAGAAAATATTAAATCTGTTAATTAAAAAAGGAAGGGTTTATGATTCATAAAAAAACACTAAGGAATTCGAGCGTAAAATGAAAAAAACAAAACTTTATTGTTCCACACTGGAAAACTTTAAAAACAAATTTTTATTAAACCAAAATAACTAAGTTTGTTAATAAAAAAAATTAAATCAAAACTTCCTACCTAATATTACGTTCCTCCGTTTGAGAAATTCGAATGTAAAATCTATTTAATACAATTTCTTCAGTAAACTGGTTTTTAGAGAATGTGACTTTTGGCGGGTAATTTTGAGAAATTCAGAAAAGATGAATTTCGGTGAATATGAAATTGATCAATAGAAAAAGTTTATGATTAATGTCAAAAACGGGATCTAATTAAGAAAATTCATCAAAAAATTTCAAAAGAGTTTAAGAAAATTTTAAGAAAAATAAAAAAAGGAAGAGTTTATGATTACTGTCAAGAACCACCACCAATAATCACTGATGAAGGGGAATAATTCGAATACTTGTTGGCGAAGAAGAAAAACCTTAATGGTTGATTGTAGAAAGGAGAAATGTTTTATGACAAAGACACTGGAATATAATCTAAAATTCAAATGTGATTCTAATCCACAAATTTAGGAAATCATAAAATTTTAAAACATATTAAAAAAATAAATTGACAAATCTAATAGGCATAAATTAAGTTAAGGACAATTATGTCATGAAAAATTGTAAATTTGTACCTAGTCCGAAAATATTTAGGAATAGAAGAACTTAATGATTTAAAAGTATGAGGTATGTACATTTAAACAAATAATTAGTTATAGGTGTATCCCTTACTAATTATCCCAAAAATATACTAAACAAACGGGTGAAGTAAACTCCACTTCATGTGATAGTAATTAGCTTACAAAATTAGTTACTAAAAATCATGGAAGCCAATACCCATAGGCGCTGCTGAATAGTAGACCAAAGGGTGAACAAATGCCATAGAAACGCAAGATTTTATAATATTGGTACTCTTGTCTACCTATAAAAGCAGCCGCACTTGATGTTTCATGGGATACCACCAACAGGAACAAGAAGACAAATTACAAGAAAAAAACTATCCAATAATTTCCAAGCCAATTACGACAAAACAAGTTCAAGAAAAGTAGCAAAACAGTAAAGGAGATCGCTTGTTTTCTGATTCAAATCGTGAAAATGAAATTACCCACGAAGAATCACCATGAGCATAGCAACCAGTAGGTGTATATGTGTGAGCATACACACATTTGCATGTGCATGCATGAATCAAAGTAAAGATAGAGCCTTTTGGAACTTACAATCCCCAGGGTCCGTCACAGAGGAGACCACATGAATCCCAGCAAAGAAAACGAGAAAGCAGAGCACCCCAATGGCTGCCATGGTCATTCCTCTCTTAGATCTAGAAGTTGATTTCTTGATGGTGTTTGAACAGCTCTGCTGCAATGAAGAACAACCAAGATTTTCTTGTAACAAAATCTACTTTACTACCCTTTTTCTCTTCGTTTCCAACGAATTACAGATCCTTTTAGTGTTGGCCTGCAATGGCGTTTGAAGGTTAGGGTTGGATAAATATGAGCTCTGCTTTGGTGTGTCCGTCTCTGTCGTGATTAATACCGCCGACTGAATGCTAACAACAGCATTTCGTCGAGTGGGTTGTGTTCATTTTAATGATCAGCCTTCCAATCCAGCTCTCAATCAGCCACTACCCCCCTCAAAATCATCGTCGTCGTCATCATCGTTTAGCCCTTTCTCTCTCCAAAAGTCTACATCATGGTGATAAATTACGATAACCTGTGAGGATTATTGTATTTCACGTCTTAACGTTTCCTATGCCGTCCCAACATTGTTCACGAGAAAGACAAGGATTGAAGTTTTGTTACCAAGATTGAAGAGGCCTTTTACATGGTAATTTCTTATACTTGCTTGCTGCACATGTCCGATGCCTCCTTTACAATTTTTTTGAATGCTTTATAGTATAAAGCTGTGATTATTTTGTTGTTTACTCGGTAAAGTGCCCGATTGTGAAGGATGAAAACATGGTTTGATTGTCAGAATACCTGCTTTTTGTAGATTACATCGATTTGTCTCGAAAGTGTTCCACAACAGTTCAATTGGCAGGGTTAAGGGTGACTAATTCAAATTTCCAACATCTCAATCTAGCTTTTTATGTTTTTTTTTGTAAACCAACCCAAAGTAAATGTAATTCTCGGTGAAACAACATAGCTTTGATGCCAAAGTTCTGTAAGTCTGTGTTTTGCTAGTGACCATGGGCTGATCCAGTGAGTCAGAAAGAGGGAAGCTTCTTCGATATGTAGGTCAGGGGTCGGGTGAGTGGTGCTGAAGGGGAAATCAAGTATCAAATTGTGTGTTCAAAAGGACCATTGCTTATTCGGTTATTCCCTCTACAGGTGATAGAATTGCGGCAAGTTGGAAGTCAGAGAGATAGGACACAACTTTTGGGGTGCAATTTTGGTGATGACATTGTTAATTCCATATGATGATTCTCTTTCTTTCTGTTTTTTTTACAACTTGATTGACTCGAGCAAAACTTTTAAGCAAAGCTCGATCAACTAATATGTTTTGTTTATCATCTCTTTTCAGGCATACCCTAGGAAAAAAATAAGAAGAGTCCCCTTTTTTAATAACAATTCGAAAGCAACAAGCCCTTTTTATTCTAGAAAGTGAGTTTGATTATCTCAGGACTGGGAGTCCAACTTCAACAGCGATGCAAAGTGGAGTCTAGTCGCTGCCAGCCAGGGACATGGCATCATTATATGTTGTATATGAGCTATGTTGCAAAAATGTTGTAAGACTACACAATTCCTTTTTTTCAAGGCCCCAAAAAAGATAAGAAGACCATACTTAGTAAATACATGGGAAAATTTTAGCCATATCCCTTTCAAAGACGTACTCTCTATCATCTAAAACATCAATGATATTCCTGTCGTTAAATCACCTTTTCTAACAAAAAAAAATTATCTAAAATATCAAAATAACCCCTAAATAATCATTTTATATAAAATTCAAGTAATTCGAGCCGATTAAATTTTTTTTTACATATTAAAATTTGAGTTTATTAAAATTTAAGCTGATTAAAATTCGATTCAAGTTGATTAAATTTTACTTTTTTATGTATTAAAATTCGATTGAATCTGATTACATTTTATTTTTTTATGTATTAAAATTTGAGCCTATTAATTTTTTGCATTAAAATTTGAGTCGATGTGAGCTTAACCTGAGCTGTTAGCGTCGATTAATATTTAATTCAAGTTGATTAAAATTTAGATTTTCTTGCATATTAAAATTCATGTCAATTAAAATTTGATTCAAGTTAATTAAAATTTATTTTTATGTATTAAAATTTGAGTCGATTAAAATTTATATTTTTAGTAAAATTGTATTATAATTAAGGCATTTAACCTGATAGGGGGTGTTAATGAAGATTTAAAAAGTAGAGGGAATATTTTTAAAGATATGATAAATTAGAAGAGATAAGACTGGAATTTTCCCTAAATAAAATAGTGATTGGAATGTATGGACGTGTGATTGGATTGCAACACTTGTGTGAGAATAAGGCACTGTAAAAGTATGTTTTGATATTGCACTAAAATAATTTTAAAAAAAAAAGATAATATAATTATTCAATTAATATAGCTATATTGAATAGAGTTGTTTGGGGATTAGTCATAAATTAATCCACATATCAATAGATATAATTTAAGAAAAATTTACTTTTATACCCCAAGTTTAGTTGCATGTTGTCTGTTAGTATAATAACACGACACGTTCGTCAGTGTTCTTTTTTTGTGAGATAATTTTTTGACTAATGTGTGTTCATTTGCTTTAAATTAAAGCAGTTTTTTAAAAAATAAAATTGATTATTGGTCAATTTTGAGCCTAAATTAAATTAGGACATGCTCGTTGTTTTTAGTAAATTTTTGTTGGTTTGTATTCTACTAATTAATGAGAATAACGTAGTATATTCATGTAAATTCTCACATGTTTATATTAATATAATAATATAATTGTTTAGTAATTCTAATATATGTAATGATGTAAGAATGAACCACATAGATTATAACAGTAGAAATAAATATTTGGGAGACAAATTAATTATTAAGGTTAAGTTTTGAAGGTATTTAAACTTGCAAGGGATTGTTAGGTAAGTTCAAAAGATTTTAGTTCAAAATAAGATTTCCATTGAATCTAGAAGATTGAGAAACATTGGGAGAGGTAATATGGGGTATAATAAAGTTAGGAAGTATTCCGGAGTTAAAGCACATTATAGATAGAATTTGGGTAGAAAGAATTTTGATACTACCTTAGTATTTTGACCATAACTTTTTACCTTGATGTCCGTTTGAGCTTAAATGTTTACATTAGATAATAAACTTCTAGAACTATAAAAGTGCATTTCACAAAAAAATTTCTAAATCGACCTCTAAATGGGCCAAAACATCACTGGAAGTTTCAGAAGAAACAGAGAGTCTGTTCCAACGTGAAAGTCCGTTTGAACGCCAAACGTTCGAACGTGAAAAGTCTGTTTGAATGATAAATTCGTTCCAGTACTCTTGTCTGATGGAAAAATAAAAAGTACTGGGAGCAAGTGATGTTCGAATGCCAAATAACGTTTGAACGTGAGCAGCGAATCAGAACATCAGATTTATGTCGGTTGCACTCTTTTCTCACCTTATAAATATATAGGGCCGCCTCCATTAGCCCCATTTCAACATTTCTAACCCTAGATAGTCTTGGAGATGAAGAAAAAAGGATAAAAATATAAGATCAATGAGGATTTTCACATTGAAGTGGATCAAAATCTCAAGTTCTTCACACAAAACTAAGGGAGAAGGTAGGGGATTCTTCTCAAGTTCGTTCATTGAGACTTAGGGTATAATTATGTATGTTTTCAATCTTCTTGATAATTATATGATAGATATACACGAGTTATTGATTTCTTTATCATTGGAACATAGTCTTAAGCAAAATATATGTTTGGGTTCAAGGAGTATTGGTTCTTGAATTTCCAAAGCCCTAACTTTTCCAAAATACATGTTCTATGGTGAAATTCATAGTGATTATTGATTTCTAAACTCTTATGTTTGATTAAATCATGTTTTCATCTAATTGTTTGTTCTTGTTCCAAGAAATTGGAATTTTTGGCAAAACCCTAGAATTTTGAATATCTAAATTATGAAGGTTTTCTTGAGACGATCTCTTGCATAATTTAATTTCCTATTACTGTTGTATATTGAGAATTGAAAATTTGTGATACTTGAATTGATAATAGAAATTGTGATTGGTTAATAAGATTGTGGTTGTTGAGAATATTTTGGTTTCATCTCTTGTATGGTTTGTTGTGACAAACTTGAATTTCCTTCGAGAGCTGCCGTAGAGTGTTAGAGGTTAGTCCATCCCAGTGAGGGTGAGATGGTTTTCTAACACTTGCAGTGGATTTTTGTTTGTGAGAGCAACTACTATTGTTCACGTAAGTTTGAGACTGAGGGATGATATACCTTTCCTGGGAAGGATTCATCAATGTCGTAGGAGATAGTTTACACCCTTCCTAAAATGTTTGTGATTGTGATGGGTGAACAAGGTAGAATCTTTGTGTAGATTCCTGAGAAGAAACCAACATACATGACAATGAGAATGAACCAACATATATGAGAATATAGAATGATGTTACTGAGTTATTTATTGATTGTTTTAATCTCTTAAAAGTTTATTCTTGTCATTGATTTACTGTATTTCGTACACTTGAGATCATTACAACTATCATAGTTTTATTCTCAAAATCTATATATGCTATTTTCCAAAAGAGACTTGCTATCTTTTATTGTTTTTTAAACCTTGTTAGGATTTGAGAGGATTTTCCTACAGAGCCCTACAAACAACACTTTTGTCAGATTTTGATTTAGAGGAGGAGTTCAGAGTTGACGAGTAGGTAACTTGGGAAGCTCAACTTGATGGGCATGTGGACCCGGAGGGGAATGTCTAGAACTATTCTTTTTATGTCCTAGACTAGAAGGTTTATTTTGAGATAATGTTCATGTTAATGTTTTTTTATTCCGTTGCAAGATAATAGTTAATTTTTGGGATGTAAGTGTCGTAGTTGGGCTTATTCTTTTGGATGTAATGGTCATGACTTGACATATTCTTTTGGATGGAGTTGTAGTTGGATGGAGTTGTAGATATTATGTATGATGAATGGAATTTTCTTTACTTATGGATTTTAGTAGTTGCTCTCATGATGTGAATGATTTAAGATAGTAATGTCATCCAAGGTGGATTTTGGGGCGTTACAATTCGTTTGCTCAAATTAAGTAAGAGATAGAATGAAAAAATAGGCTTTAGAATGACCCTCTAAGAATGTGAAA